ACTTCCCAGTAATCACATCAGCCCCAGGCTTTATGGGTCCCCTTTAGAACAATCTACCGCAAGCTCTTAGAAGTCATGTGGCCATATTTGATACTTCGATTTCAATTCCTTGAAATGGTAAACTTCTCCCTATTGTCCTTGACATTCAATAAAGGATCAGTAAATAAACTTAATGAGATCCACTTTACTGCAGTACCTGAAGGGTTTCTTTTAAGAGGCAGAAGGAACATAAAGCTGCCTATTATTCACTCACTTTATAAAATAACATACTATGACCTAGTACAGTTAAAACAAAATACTATGAATTACTAGTTATATGTTTTACTGAAACACTGAACTGACCCATTAATTCCAAAAATGATGCAAAAGACATGGGGAGAGAAGGGTTCATTTATTTCTATTTTAGAGCACTGGAAATAAAATAAGAGCTGAATTTTTAGCTTCTAGACACCCTATGTTTGAGAACAACTGAAGTCTAGTTATGTTTTCCATAATAAGCCAATCAAAAAGTATTTAGTAAGCACCTTCTCTGTGCCAGGCACTGAGCTAAGTGCTGGGGGTACGAGTACAAAAATGACTTAAAGAAATTTAATTTTTTCAAGTACAACCTCAGCTGGTATATTGAAATGGAAGAACAATTACCATAGACACTTAGAAGTATAGAATAATATGACTTCTCACTTTCCGTGACTTCATTAATCCTTTTGCCCAGAGTTCCTACATTTATCTGTTTGGAAGAACAAAGTAAGAAAAATTAAATGAATTTCAATGAGGTCCCTAGAAGAGATTTCAATCTAATTCAAGAAATATTTATTAGGTGCCTACTATATGCCTACTTAGGGCAGCCAGGTGGCATAGTGGATAGAGTGCCAGGCTTGAAGGCAAGGAGACTCATCTTCCTGAGTTCAAATCCAGTCTCAGATACTTACTAGCTGTGACCCTGGGCAAGTCATTTAACCCTGTTTGCTTCAGTTTCCTTACCTGTAAAATGAGCTAGAGAAGGAAATGGCAAACTACTCTAGCATCTCTACCAAGAAAACTTCAAATGGGGTCATGAAGAGCTGGACACAATGGAAAATGACTGAATAACAACATGTGCCAGGAAACTACAACAGATCAACTACCTATTAATGAACCTGCCTTACATTATTGTGAAAATTCTTCACTGGTATTTCTTTAAATTCAGTGTTCTTCACCTTTCCCCCATGAAACCTTCCATTACTCTCTAATCCTCCCTTTGATTTTTTTTTTTAAGGCAATTGGGGTTAAGTGAGTTGCCCAGGGTCACACAGCTAGTAAGTGTCAAGTGTTTGGTCTGAAGTCAGATTGAACTCAGGCCCTCCTGACTTCAGGGCGGTGCTCTATCCACTGCACCACCTAGCTGCCCCACCTCCCTTTGTTTTTACAAGGTAGAAAACAAAATGGATGGTGTCAGTTTCCTTGTATCCTTCCTGAAACTGTCAGCACTGGTATCAATTTTAGGTTTGATTTTATGATGGCAGAGTGGTCCCTGAGCAGACTTTAAATGGGATCTAGGTGGAAGCATTCCCACTCCCAGTCAGCCTGAAAGGATCAAGTCATTTTTAATATAGTCAGTAAACAATTGTCAGAAAGCAATAAACTTTTCTGTCCCTGTAAACCTAGACCATATGAAATCTGGTGACCCAGATCTGAAAAACTCCACGATTTCCCCAAAGACATCCAACTGGCAGAAAAAGTTATTTACTGCATCAGATATTGGAATGATATAATTAATCATTTCAGCTTGAATTGGGAGAAGTAAAAAAAAGTTCCTAGAAGTCCACTCATTGAAGTTTATTATTGTTGCTATGAAACAGACCTTTTTTGAAGGACAAAAGATGAAAAAAAAATCAGTCTCGTGTACTTCCTGAGCAATGGATGGATTACTGACAATGGATGATATCACCAATAGCCAATTATGAAGCTTAGCATTCCAGAACTCTTTAATAATTTGTTTTGAAGAAATGCTATTTCCAAAAACTTTCAAAAATAACCTGAATATTATTTAGTTGGCTATGTAATGAAAGGGGGGGCAGAATGTACAAACATTTTTTATGGAAATCTCTATGTACAGAAGAATTTAAGATCATACAAAAACATACAAACAAGTATAACACAAACAAAAAGACCATATAGGCCATCCCCAACTTACAAATGGGTTGTGTTCCAAAAGTTTGTTCCTAAGTAGGCTGTTTAGATCTTGGAACAAAACTTCCCATGGAAACAATGTCATAAATGGTGGTTAGGCTTCCAGATCAACCCACAAAACCTGGACTGAACCCTTCAAGCACATCCTGAGTTGAACAGACCTTCATAGGTTGGCTTGGTAACTTAGCTCATTTTCACAATGGAAAAGGAGGTTCTTTGGTATGCTATCAGGACTAAGGCAGCACTATGAAAGCACTTCCACTCTATCTCATGCTACAGGAGTAAGAATCCTGTGTTTTAGCTCTGAGGATGGGGTGAACAGCTCAGAGTATCTATCCATACATGTTCCACAAAAGAGGTGTTTACAAATTGAGTTCACAAATTCAATAGGCATTTACAAATTGAATTTCCAAATTCATATCGAAAAGGATATGAAAGGAGATTACACAGCTTACCATTTAACACAGCATTACCAATTAACCATGAAGAGGAGATAATAGCTTTATTCTAAGAAGCTTATTTTCAACTGTAATGGGGGGACTAGTTGATGATGACCCAGTCCTCTGAGTCAGATTTGCCCTTCTTGGTACATCATACAGAACATGCTTAGATTTTTGCCTGCATGTGACTGAGGGGCTGGTCATGGCTGGTGACCCAGAGTCTTCTGGTTGGCTGAGGAATCAGAAAGACTGATGACTAATGAACTACTAAGCTAGAACTGAGTATGCACACAGAAAGAATGACCTGCCACACAGTTAACCTTCTGCCTGACTGCCATTGATACAGAACTGCTTTGAGCCATTTGGGGTTGGGGGGCACAGGTAAGAGCAGTTGCTCTGTTAGTTCTATGAGAATGTTGCCGTTGGTTCTGGGAGGCCTCAGTGCCATCAGAGGTCCCATTGGCAGCTGGAGTCAGTAGCAGAACCTAGGTAGAAAGGCAGTCTGTATAAAAGCAGCTTCAGGAATTTTGACTCCCTCATAATAGAGAGAAATACTGGCTATTGATTCTAGAAAGGCACCCATCCACTGAGCCCGGAAGGAAACTACATCTAAGGATGACCTTTGAGAATTCCATGAAGGGAGAAAAGGTTTTCTGGAGCCAGGAATCAGAAAGTACCCCTTGGTCACACATGTTTTCAATACATATACCCACTATCCTCAGGAACCTTGTGTGGTCTGCAAGGGGAGAGTGTGTCCTGGTATGGTGGGGGAACAGGGGGAATTGTTTTTGTTAAAGGATGGCTCTTGCTATACTTTCTTAGCAAATACCTTTTCTAAAAGCTAATAAAAATGAGTTCTACTAGTTGATTGATAATGGGTAATAACATGGACAGGGGCTTGCAAGACACAGAACTAGAAACCCAAAGTCCTTAGGGTTTTCTCAAATTACTTCCTAAGGGAAGTCGTACTCAACTGCCCTCTGGGGATCTAACCAGCTAGTTTGAATGGGAGTTGAGAGTGTAAGTCCAGAGATGGTACTACATAGATATTTCACATTTAAATTTATCAACAATTTACAGGAAACTACTAAGACCAGAAAGTTAAAGTAAGGAATAATTAGGTGATTTTTCCCCAAGTAGAATGTAAACTCTCTGAGAGCAGGGATGATGATGATGATGATGATGAAGATGATGATAATGATGATTATTTTTTGGAATGGGAGAATGCCTAAGACAATGCCTTGCACATAGTAGAGTTGCTGAAATTGAGTCAAACTCCCATATGGGGACTATATAATATTTCCACATTTAGTGGAATATGCTTCCAAATATCTGGTGACTTTCATAGTCATAAGCATACTGAAAATACTTTAGAACAATGGTAAAATACTTTTTGTTGACAAAGGATTTTTTTTAAAAGAACACATCTAACACATACCCAATAAAGTACTAACAGGCAAAGAGAGTAATTGATAAGGTTTGTGCCTACATTTTTACTTATTAAAAATCAACTCCAAAATGCTGCACTTTGTAAAGCACAAAAAAAGGCCTGTGACTTCATGAATAAATGGAAAAAAACCCCCACAATCTTTAAGCATTTACTATATGCCAAGCACTGAGTCTGAAATATTTTTCTCTGCTAAATTCAGAAGAAATGTTAGTGACACATATATGATTTCTAATGATTTCTTTGCTAAATAGAACCACTGTATGCAATCACAGTAGGGCACTGATGTTAGCTTCTTCAAAAGCAAAATGCTATATATTTATAACAGGTTCCCCCCCTTTCCAGACATTGTCATAAGCTCAGATGATAAGACAGATTAATTTTAAAGCAATACTCAAAAAACCAAAAGCATTTTTTTGAAAAAGAAAGGGGAGATAATAATTCATAAGACATTAAATTTTATTTAACTTTATACTAATACCAGATTAGCCCCCTTCAGGCAATTTACCTAACTACTTTTCCTCTTCCTCCCTCTTCTCTCATTTATATCTATCTACTGAAAATCCTTTCATCCTTCAAGAATCAGCTCAAATGTTGTGTCTTCCATAAGGGCTTCCCTGATTCTTCTGGTGAAAATGATCTTACTATATCCTATTTTGTATTAAAGTCAGTTGCAAATCTTGATTACCTACTATGTATAAGTTTCCATTAAGGCAAAGGACTTTTTCTTATTTCTCTTTTATTTTAATTGTTATTATTATTATTATTATTGTTATTATCTCCCTCAAGGCCTGACAAAGTATTCTAGGTCAGTAGATACCTAATAAATATTTACTAACCTGAATTTGGTTGATATTTTTTGTCTCTTCTTGGAAATAAATCTAAAGATAATGAGAGTGACAGTAATTATGGAGAAGTCTAGTCCTTTCAAGGTATATTCTAACCTTCCTCTGGTAGTCCTCTGTAAAATCTTCATTCCTCCCAGGCTGCAGGATTTTCCTTCCCACTGTCTGTTGTGCTGAGAGATATCTTCTGGAGGAGAACAGAGGGATTCCAAATGTACTTCACTGAATATCCCATAAGCATCCTGGACAAGAAGGCAGCATCTGCAAAACAGAATTCCCATTTTCTATTTTAGTCCAAAATCTTGAGATTTAATAATATCAAGTGTTTACTTCTGGTTCTTTATAAATATAGGTATTACAGGTACACAAGTCAAAGTCTATAGCTCAACCAATTAACTTATACTTTGGGTTCTGATTTTGGGTTTCATTCATTAAACACAAAATTAAACAGGAGCTGTTATGCCATTTTAGGATAAAACTGCCCCCCCCACCCCCACCAAGTGGTTTGAAATAAAGGAAAAGAAAAAGGGAATATATCTTTGGGACCCAGACCCAATGTCATAGCTGCTGGTCCATCCATGATGGCTATATGATGAAAAAATTTATATTTTGTGCTATTCTTGGGCAACAGAAAAAGCTTTCACAGCAATGTACAGTGAGAGGAATTAGGCTCTTCTCTCAGGAGTTAAGTTTTAGCATACATTTATAATAACAACAATGATAATAGCTGACATTTATAGACTGCTTTATAGTTTGCAAAGCACTGTAATGGTGTCTCATCTGATCTTCACAACAATGCTGTGAATTAAGTATTATAAACATACTCATACTCTTTTTATACCTGAGTTAACTGAGGCTCAGAAAGTTTAAGTGAATTGCCTATGAGCTCACTATTTGAGATTTGAACCCAGGTCTCTCCTGTACTCTAAGTCCAGAGTCATATTTTTGACACAATGCTTCCTCTGACATAGCACATTTCTTGACACTGAACATCTGGTAAGGGGAGCCAGGACACTAGTTGGCAGCACATGAACAAAATAATAATAACAACTACAATAATAGCTAACATTTACATAGCACACTCTATGTGCTGGGCATGGTGCTTAAGCACTTTACAAAAATTATTACAAATTATAATAGATAGGAGATGGCATGAGTGGTTATCTCCCAAGTGACTTGATAAATGTAATCACAAAGATAACTGTTTGATAACTTCCTGATTATTGTCCAGTGAGACAGACAATGAGGAGAGCTATGCTCACCGAAGGTATATACGATAAATTTCAAGAATGCCATCCTTGAGAAATCATATATGACAATTCAAAGTCCCTTAGGTTCATAATTCAGTAAGGTAAACTTGTGCAATCAAGGATTCTATGCACCATGAAAGGACTTACAGTTTCCCACTGATATAGGGCAAGAGATTAGGATCTATGTTACAAATAGATTTAGAAATTATAAAAAAAAATGTTTAAAGTGTGCCAGAAAGCACAGATTGAAAAGCAACATTAAAAATCTTGGTGATATACAGTTATCATGACCAATAGTAAGAGAAATGTAAGTTAAAACAAATCTCAAGTTTTACCTCACTGCACATAAATTGACAAAGATGACCAAAAAATGAGATTTGTCAATATTGTAAGGACTAAATATCAACTTTTAATTAGGCAAGAAAAGTGATGAAATTGTTTGTATCCTTTAACCCAGATATTCACTACTGGGCTTTATGCCCCAAGGTGGTCAAGAACAGAAACAAAGGTCAAGTATATACCAAAATATCCATAGCAGCATTCTTTGTGGTAGCAGAGAACTGGAAACAAAGAGGGTGTCCCTTGATTGGGGACGACTGAAGAATTTTGGTAAAGAATATAATGGAATCTTACTGTGTAGTAAGAACTAAAAAATATGAAGAATTCTAGGAAAAGGGAAGATTTGGATGAACTGATGCAATGTAGAACAAGCAGAACCAAGAAAATAATTTACACAAAGACTACAACAATTTAAATGGAGAGATGACTAAAAGGAAGCTAAACTCCAAAGAATAGAAAAATCAGTGAAGGTCCTGGAGAATAGGAAATGAAACATACCTCCCTCCTCAAAGCAGAAGCCAAGGACTATCAGATACACTCACTGTTGAGAGAATTTCTGCTCAAGTGTTTTTCTTTGTTACAAAGGAGGGTTCAATCTAGAATTGGGAAAGGTTATCCCCTCCCCCACATCATAACTGTGATATAAAGAAGAGAGATTGTGATATAAGAGAAAAGAAAAGAGAAATAATAAAATAAAATGATTCAGTCACCATATTGTTATGCTCTGGCTTTGGGGTTGTGTTTCTTGCTCATATTTACATCTTTAAAGGTGTATTAATTCATCAAGTAATATTATTCCTTAAGCAAACACTATAAAATTCTAGGTATCATGGATAAAAACAAAAGAAACAGAAGGTAGAATATTATATATGCCAAACGCTGGGCTAGGATACAAAGACATAAGTCGAAGTCTCAGCTAGTCTCAACCCTCAAAGGCTTACTTTCTAATGGGGTTGACTACGTAAACAGATACACGTAACTGTATGTATAACATACAGAAAATGAGTACAAGACAGTTTTGGGAGAGAGTGGACCCAGAAGCTGTGAGGATCTGTAATGGGTGATAAATCATGATGAGAGTGAACTTCAAAGAAGCGGATGCTGAGTCATGGCTAAAGAGGAAGAATCTGGAAATGGCCAAGGGGAACAAGGAGTATTCTCCTACTCTCTTAAGGACCAGTGAGTCAGGAGCCATGAGAGAATGTGCAACAAGTGATGGAAATGACAGTCAAGAGATGCAGAGTCATTGGACAGGGAAGTACAAGTCTCAGCAAGAGCCTGAAGATGGAAGGACTATATGAGAGTAAGAGATATAAAATTAAGGGAAATTTATTAATTTTAGAATGGGAGTTCCAGAGGACACAGTGGAGAGAACACTGGATTTGGAGTGAGAAGGCTCCACTACTAGTTAGTACCCATGTGACTTTAGGTAATTCAAATCATTTCAGCGTTGTTAAGTATATATGTTAAGTATATAAATCAGTCAGCCAGTCAAGAAACATTTGTCAAGAGCCTACTATGTGTCAGACACTGTACTAAGCACTGAGAATACAAAAAGAAGCAAAAGACAGTCCCTTCCCTTGAGGGGAATCTAATGGAGGAGACAACGAACAGATACGTGCAAACAAGTTACGTGTAGGATAAATAGAAAATTATTTTTAAAAAGGGAAGGCACTAGGGTTAAGTAAGCTTCCTATAGAAGATGGGATTTTAATTAGGAAACCAGTAAGTAAAGATGAAAGGGAAGAATATTGCAGGCACGGGTGACAACACAATCCTTGCCCTCACAAGCTTGCATTCTACTAGTATCAGTATAACGTTCTATTTGCTCTCTCCCATAGAATATAACCTCTTTGAAGGCAGGAACTACTTTATTTTTGTCATTTTGTCTCCACAGATTCTCATAATACCAGGTACATACTAAGTGCTTAATAAATGCTTGCTGGTACAACCTCTCTGAAATTCAGTTTCCTCTTCTATAAAGGGATTGAATTAGATTAGGGGTGCTTAACCTTGGGATCTGTGAACTTAAAAAATTGTGTTTTTTTAAAAAAATAACATTTCACTATGATTGGTTACCTTTGTAATCCTTAGTATTTTGTTTTATGGATTATTTCTAGAGGAGTTCCATAGGTTTCATCAGATTGCCAAACAGGTCCATTGACACAAAAAAGATTAAGAACCTCTAGATTAGATGATCTCTAATGTTCCTTTTAGCTCCAAATCCTATTATCCTATAATGTCTCTTGGGAAAAATGATTGAGCCTCTTCATTAAATGGACTAATTCCTGTGTTATCTCAATATCTTTTAGTGTTTCTCCACTGAAGTCCTACTTGGATGCTTTGTTCTGGCTGGAGGAGATCTTGAGTTCTTGGAGCATAAATATCACAGGTAATACCTAACTGGGAAGGCTTCAACAATATCCCAGTAACAGATTGCAAATGTCTGGTGCCAAATGATCAGCCTCATTTAGGCTGAGATATTTGTCACCAAAATACTGACTAAAAGGACAAAGCAACTCAAGAACTAAGAAGGGTGGGAGCATTGATCTGCATTGGGAGAAGCAATGCTTTGGAACAATATGAGACAAAAACTTTTATAGAGGAGAATATCGGTTCCTTGATGGTAGAAGCTGTTTTTTCATTTTTTTCCCCTTTGTATTCTCAATGCTTGCAATCAATCAGCAGGCAGTAGGTGCCTGCTATGTGCTAGACACTATGGTATTCATTAAGGATTCAAAAAGAAAAAATGAAATAGTCCCTGGCTCAAAGAACTTGTATTCTATTAGGGAAAAGAGCATATATGCATGTAGCTGAACACCAAATACATGAAAAAAAAAATAGGATAATTAGAAGGGGAGACACTAGCAGCTGGGAGGGATCAGAAACAGCTTTGTGTAGGATGTAACCCTTGAAGGGAGGCAAGTGATTCTAAAAGGCAAGGGGAATGGATTCATTTCAGGAACATAGTAGGCCCTTAGTGAATAATTGATATCAATACATACCATAGTTCTAGAATCAAACTGACTCAATCCTTAAGAGCTAGGCCACAGGCTGAAATGTTTAGACTCTTTGGTGCCCACAGTTTCCCCTTATTTGTCTTTGGATTCCAAGTATTTGTTGTTTAGTCATTTTTCAGTTTTGTCCAACTCTCTGTAACCCCATTTGGGGTTTTCTTGGCCAAGATGCTGGAGTGGTTTTCCATTTCCTTCTCCAGATCATTTTATTGATGAGGAAACTGAGGCAAACAGGGTTAAGTGACTTACTCAGGGTCCCACAGCTAGTAAGATCTGAGGCTGGATTTGAACTCAGGAGGAGCACTCCACCTAACTCCAGGCCCAGCACTCTATCCACTAGACCATCTGGTTGCCCATTCCAAGGATTAGGCTAACCATATGAGCATAGAGAATCCTTACACTGATGAGATCTCAGATCTTTTAAACCTTAGGCAAAACACTTAACCTCTCAGAGGTCCACTTTCTGAATAGGTAAAGAAGAGCAGCTAGGTGGCCCAGTGGATAGAGCGCTGGGCCTGGAGTCAGGAGGACTCCCCTTCCCGAGTTCAAATCCAGCCTCAGACACTTACTAGCTGTGTGACACCAAACCCTGTTTGCCTCAATTTCCTCATCTGTAAAATGAGCTGGAGAAGGAAATGGTAAACCACTTTAATAT